GTGTTATGTTATTTTGTACTGTTTTTAGGACAATTATAATTTGGCATAAGTAAAAGTTGAAGTTGTAGTATTACTGTATTCCTATTAAACTGGGGGAAAAAAAAACTGTAGTGGTATTTCAGAATAATAGACAAGCACCTCAACTTAGAAAAATATCCACCACTGTTTACATATTTTCTTTAAAAAAAAAAAAAAGTAGTCCATCCGTGTCTGGAAGTAGTAGCTCTGATTGAACCGTAGAGTTTTAGTTTCACATGTAGAGTGTGAAATTAATCCATCCACAGTCGAATTCCTGTTGGAATTGTCCTGAAAGCTTTTTCAGAAGAAAAATCTCAGCAATGTAAAATCTGAAAATACAGGCTTCCCCCTACCCGTGTTACTATAATTTTGGGGCACAATTTTATTTCAGTCTTCAGGGATAGTAGAAGCAAGCAAGGCTAGTTTAGAAAAACAGTGAAGGTCAGGTCAGTCTTTTTCACAGATGTTAGAAGGAAGAGAATCAAACTAATATCTTTGGGGGTTTTTTTAGAAGCAAATATTTGATAATTCATTTTTTTTTGGCAAAAAACAAATGTCTTTGCAATTAATTTTGCATGATTGGCCTTTGGTTATCAGCCAAGAAATGTGATCAGTCATATTTTAGTAGTTCTTCAAAATGTCATATACATAAAGTTAAAATCTGTTGAGTGATCAAATAAGGAGGTATTTCTTAGTGCTACTCAGTTATCTGAATAGCATACAGCTTTCTTGCAGTGTGTTTTATATCAGTCAGACATCTGTAGGTTTGTCATTTTTGAAATTTTCAAGTTTCAAAAAGCCTGGCCCTCTGTTCCATCATGCATGGAGCAAGAGCTCTGGCAGGGAAGGGTCCTTGTTGCAGCACTAAAGAACCCTGACATTGAGGGACAACTCGTGTTCGTTGCACGGTATAAAACGGATCTTCATGTTACTTCAAATGCAAAATATAGAAGGAGGGTTGGCTTTAGGATTGGAAAATATTTGTTATCTTTAAAAACTTGTCAGCCTCAAAGTTTAACTGGAATCTTACTTAAAAAGTGAAAAAAAAAAAACCAGAATTTGTAACTGTGAGGGATGGAAGCAGAAGGAGAGGCTAATAGGAAGAGTTCCAAACTTCCTTTTCTCTCTGATTTTATTTGGAGTGTTTTGGAGTTACTTTGGCCCAAACTTGTGTTGTGGGATATACTTGTATGAAATATCCCACTAATAAATCTAGAGTGGAAAAAAAAAAAAAATTTCTCAGTGTATCTTGGTGGGCATTTTTTGGCATTTTTGGATGCCAGCTTTTGGATTACAGTTGGATAACTGTTGGTTTGTCTTAAAATCAGTGAAAGTATTTAGAGGACAGTAAATATTTTCTTCTTAAATTAAGCCAGATGGACACCTTTGGTACTGAAGGGAGCTTGAAATCCGTATTGTTTAAATTTTTTGACAGTAAAATACTTTACTGGTTATTGGTTTCTGTAATTTTTTTTAAAATAAACTATAATAGCATTTTTTAGAAGTGTGACCTTCCTTAGATCTAAAATAACCTTGTATTAGTCAGTTCTAAAACTCAATTAAAGCTTATTTCATAAGGGTTTAAAGTTTCCTTATGATGGGAAATATAAAGCTGCTCTCAGCGTGTGTAATACTGCCAGACTTCAGTGGTTTGAACCAAGATGATGTGCTGGTTGCCTGCCTCATTTTGAGTCGTTTTGGTTGAAATTTTCCAAATACTTTCATTTCCGATATTGAAACGGTGGAAAAATACTGCTATGCCCAAATGAGTTCTTTAGAAATGTTTTATTATTGCTCAATTTTTCAAGGAAGAAAATTGGGTTTGGCTGCAGAGAGGATGTTTCAGTACAGAAGAGCTGTGTGAAATTCAACAGGACTTCCCATGCATTTGCAATTCAGGGCTGCTTTGGGATGAGGTAGACCTGAGCATAACAAGAAGGGTGCGGGTTAGCAGGAGAGGGAAAGCTGGTACGAAGAAGTGTTTATTTAAAATGCAAGTAGGGGATCTTTTTCAACCTGTGCTCTCATTTACTTCTCCTTCCCTGGCAAGAAAAAGCGGGGAAATTGCCTGGACTTGAGTGTACAGGCAAGAAAGGCAGGGTCTGGGTGGGGCAAATAGGAGCTCCCGACCAGCTGCCACAAGACAAGACCACCAGCTTAGAGTCGGGGAGCTGGGAAGCTGGATCTGCAGTGGGATTAGGAACCAGCGGGCAGAGTGAAAGACGTGATGGGGATGAGAGAATGTATCTTGAAGAGCAAGCAGGACCAGGAGAACCATAAGGTTAATTGGACAAAGAATATCGGGGAAGATGCTTGAGGCTGGATTACAAATTTGATCATAGAAGCAGAGATGCATGCTTATTTTGTAGCCTAAGCCTGTATTTTGTAGCCTAGCACTAAAACTGAAGTTTGGGAGCGAGAGGAGAGACTGATAAGGATCTGTTACCTCGACCAGGGCAGAATACATCGAGTTTGGAAGAAGCAGTTAGAGGAGACTGTAGTCACTGCAGTGCCATTTGGTGCTTGGAAGCAAGCCCAGCCAGATCATTGCTGCTGCCAGTTCTTCAGTTTGGGTGGCAAATATGTGATATTTATGCTTTATTAGCCCAGGTTTAGGTAAGTTTCCACATAATTCATTTTTTGCTGGCTATTTTAGGAATAACTAAGATACATTAGGCATATATCGTGTGTAGAGAAAAATACAGGGAGAATTTCAGAGCTTCCAAGTCAAGCTCTCGGAAAACAGGAAAAAGCAGGTTGTCTGTCAAGACTGCTTTCTCTCCCCAGGTGCAATATGTTCATGTGACTGCGTGCAGTAAATAAGATGCAAGATAAAAACCATCTTGTGTGAAAACTGCCCTTACGAACTGGTTTCTCTCCTGCCTCTGTTGCAGTGACCTTATGCATTATGCAGTGATAAACTAATAACTAAATAGCTAAATATCAGTTGGTTTGCTGGGTGCCTCCCTAGAGGCCATGCAGCTTGTGGAAGTGCTGTGTGTTCCCTGGGGTGACTGTAAGAGCAATGCTTTGAGAAATAGGCTTTTATCACCAAGGCTTCCAAGATGAGGGAATGTATTTAACCTTAGTTGGAGAGTGCCTCTGGCAGCTCCTACGTGCAGTGATGGTAGAGGCGCTTTTTGGGAGCGAAGGGTCAGGGTCCTCAAGGTTTGTGTTCAGTTGCTCTTTTGGCAGGCAGCCAGCGCTGTCCTGCTCAACACAGGGAAGGGCAATGCAGTTGAACAGCCTTGTTCAGCTAAACCTGAATGGATTTGGATGGGACAAATAAATGTCACTTTCTCCATTCCCAAACAGCTCCCTCTTCCTCCAACTGCTGTTGTTTGCAGACAGCCTGTGAAATTCAAAGGCATTAGTCCCTTCTGAGTTGGCAAGAATATTTTGCATTGGTAACTGTTCACTTGCAGAAGTGTAGCACCTCCTCCTACAAACAGTATGTATGTTACGAGGACTGTCATGCTTGAGTGTAATATGATGTCTTTCCACTAAATGAAATACCCACAGGAGACTGGCTGACTAGGAGCATTGGCAATGGGATATAGACCCTTTAATCTCTAGGAATGATAAAGTATTCACAGTTGATGGCTGCATAATGGCATAAAATAAGTAGTCACAGTCTCGCTTCCAAATGAGAAGTCTTAGTATATCGCGTATCCCCATTTAGGTGTTTTCAAGGCGGCCACAGATTTAATAACGGCTGTGATCCTCAGTGCCTCGCATCTACCTGTTTGGGCCTTGCCATTCCCACTTGTATTGTGCTGGTAGAAGGGTGTGAAGCAGCTTTGTCTCATGCTACTTCAGTAGTGAGCGGACTTCAGTTTCCAGGGCAAATACCCATTTTTGTTGCGTGAGAAATTAAAATGCTAGTAATTTTGTAGTACAGATGGGATAGAGTGAGACTGTGCATACTGCTGGTGAAGGCAGCTCAGTAGATAAATAGTAAGATGCTTACAATTTATTTATTATAACTTACTTAGTTCTTTGGTTCTTTGCTGATGATGCATATTTTAGTCTAGCAGGAAGTGTTTGGTCTGTTACCTGCTTTGGGAAGCTTGTCTGTAGCAATGGCAAGCTTTAAGGTGAGCTTCAAATGTAGACAGAATAGGTGCCATCGCTGACTTCAGAATCTGTATAAAGAGGATAACAAGAATGTTCTTAGAGTATTTCCATTACTTTGATTTTCTCACACATAATAAGGAAATGTTTGTTGATATAATAATTTGAGGCATAGGTTCTTGCAGTTATCAGAGGTTGCCAACATTTTTTCAACTTTTGGTATAGAATAAAAGATTATAATAGTGTGAGTTACTCAATTAAGTATGGCTTCTGCAAAGTTCTGCTTTTGGATTAACATCCTGCTTTCTGCAATATGTAACGGCTCACTTTATGTTTAAAAAGACTTACTGGAGGACAGATAATTTTGTACTTTCATATAATGCTTCAGATGCTAAGTTGTGAATAGGCAGAAGTATTACTCTGCTGTTATTTCTTTTGAAAGATGATTTCTTTAATTTTCTGGCTGCCATAAATTGTCCTTCCCCTGCTTTTTTTTAAGTAAAGCTACTTCACTTCTGTAGCTTACATTGTACTAAATTGATGGTGAAGAATAGCACGGTCTAAGATGATAAATGTCAGGAATGTCTTCTAAAGTAGACATTCAGATTTTTTTGGATTAATGGGAAAGAAGGTCAATAATTGCATGGATTTCAGTAAGCTTTGGAAGAGGTGGCGTTCCTGTGGTGCTAGTGATTATTAAAACATTGTGAATTCAATTCAAGATACTGTACTGGGTTTTAATATCTCTTCCATTGTGAAAGAATGACTCAGTAAGGGCTGCCAATTTGTACAGATGATAGGAGATAGCTCATAAAGCAATTGTATTTTTAAAAGAAAAAAATGTTATAGCAGTCAACAGATAAATGCCTGGATGCTAGTCCTAATCTCAGTTCTGCCTTATTAAATAGGGCCCTCCAGACTTCCAGCAGCATACGCCTGGACCAGTTCCTACCAACTTCTCCCAAGCCCCAAGGCTGCCAATCCAGGACCAGTGGAGAGGGCCACCACCACCGCCACCACCGCTCCCCCCTCCACCTCCTCAGGACAGAGATCCTTTCTTCATAGCAGGTAAGCATTTTCATTTCCACTAACATACCAAATCCACTTTTTGTAAAGTGTAAGCATGTATCATATAACATGAAGTGTTTGGAAGAGCCTAAAGACCAGAAGATCCCATTTGTTGTAGCTAGACTAGTACATGCCAAAAATTCCACTGGTCTGCCATCTTATTCCTTCCCTGGTGTAATCTTGTGTCTCCAGCTGTAACTACCATCAATCTGTGTATTTATACAGATACAAAATAAAATCACTATCTAAGTGATTGTTGCAGTAAAGTTGCTGTGATTTCTTACATTTTAGACAACTACTGCTCTCCATACGCTCTGGTTTCCACTGGTAACTCTTAAACTCTCTGGACTATATGTGTACTGCAAGAAATCTGTTAATGTTAGCTAAAATGATACAGCATAGCAAACAAAATAGGTTGTGTGTATATAGACACATGTATATACATAATGTGTATATCTATAATGTATATTTTATAGGTATTTTACACACGCACAAAATATATAAAAATTTGCTAAAATATCTGGTCAGCAAATGGGATCAAAATTTTGTGAGTTCTTGCATGTTTTAACCTCTAGTCGCTGGAATCCTTCATGGATTTCATTAGAGTTTCTCAAAGGTATTACTAATTCCAGTGAATTGCTGGTTGTGCTGATCTTCTGAGCATGCCACCACCGCTCCCCCCTCCACCTCCTCAGGACAGAGATCCTTTCTTCATAGCAGGTAAGCATTTTCATTTCCACTAACATACCAAATCCACTTTTTGTAAAGTGTAAGCATGTATCATATAACATGAAGTGTTTGGAAGAGCCTAAAGACCAGAAGATCCCATTTGTTGTAGCTAGACTAGTACATGCCAAAAATTCCACTGGTCTGCCATCTTATTCCTTCCCTGGTGTAATCTTGTGTCTCCAGCTGTAACTACCATCAATCTGTGTATTTATACAGATACAAAATAAAATCACTATCTAAGTGATTGTTGCAGTAAAGTTGCTGTGATTTCTTACATTTTAGACAACTACTGCTCTCCATACGCTCTGGTTTCCACTGGTAACTCTTAAACTCTCTGGACTATATGTGTACTGCAAGAAATCTGTTAATGTTAGCTAAAATGATACAGCATAGCAAACAAAATAGGTTGTGTGTATATAGACACATGTATATACATAATGTGTATATCTATAATGTATATTTTATAGGTATTTTACACACGCACAAAATATATAAAAATTTGCTAAAATATCTGGTCAGCAAATGGGATCAAAATTTTGTGAGTTCTTGCATGTTTTAACCTCTAGTCGCTGGAATCCTTCATGGATTTCATTAGAGTTTCTCAAAGGTATTACTAATTCCAGTGAATTGCTGGTTGTGCTGATCTTCTGAGCATCAATTCCTTTTATACGCAGGTGGCAGAAGCAAGAGAAGTGTAACCTTGAGAGTAGCTCTTAAAATCAAAACATCTCATACGGCTTTGTGTTCTTCAAATTTCAGGTTACTTTTCCAAATCAAAATAGAGCTTTGTGTTTTGAAAGTGTGTTTGTGTCCCAAGGAGGTAGTCATTTAAGTACTTACCCGATTCCCACAGATCCAAGGTTTCCAAGCCATCACTTGTTTGAGCAGCGGAGCCCCCCACCGCCGCCACCTCCACCGCTTCTTAATAGCGCACACCCTGTCCCTACCCAAAGTCCGATGCCGTTCAGCCAGCCTGGGCCGGCGTTTAATCAGCAGGGACAGCAACCAGTGTTCCCCAGGGAGCGCCCAGTACGGCCGAACATGCAGCCTCAAGGTCCCGTGGGGATTCTCCACTTCAACCAGCCGGGCTCAGCAAACCCACGGCCGTTCATCCCTCCGAGGCAGCAGTTCCTGCAGGCTCCGGGACAGCCCTTCCTCGCCGCACACACGCAGCCCAGCATGCAGGTAGGGGCCCACCAGGAAGGTGCCAGGTGGCCCAGTGCTGCCTTGTAGGCTCACAGGACTGACGTAACTGAGGCGCCGTTGTCAGAGGTTACGGGTGCGAGGCAGATGGACCCGTAACGCTTTATTGCTGGGCCTGAAGAAGTGATTGACTTTCTCCCCAGTTGCCAGCACTAACGTATTGCTGATAACTGGGAGGCAGCTGAGTCGAAGCTTGAAGTGGGGAAATGTTTTGGGGATGTGTGGGGTGATGCGGAGGGCCCTGCGTGTTTGTGGGCTTTGATGCGGGATCTTTTCATGGTGTGTGTGTTTTGAACGTGGGGAGATCCTGAAGCCTGGTGATGCGGGGGGCAGGAGGGGAGACAACAAATGGGGAAAAAAAATCTCCACCAAAACCCAAACAATTAAAAAAGTCACTAGAAAAGGGGGCAGAGGCCAGTAACCCTTGCATCTGTCTTTTTCGCTTCAGCTGCTGACTTACACAGGCTTAAGTGTAGAACTACCTTGCACAGCTTCTGTTAGTCTGGTTTTTCACTCAGTATATTTTTGGTTTAGCCTGGTCCATAGCTGCTTACAGATGTTTTGAGGACTGGAGGTACTTTTCAGGAGTTTATTACCTTGAAACTAAAACCAAGTAATCTCTCTCTTCATGTGAAGGGCCCCTTGCATCCTCCATTACAGCCTCAGCCACAACCTCAGCCTCAGCAGCACCATCACCAGCAACAGCAGCAGCACCATCACCAGCAGCAGCAGCAGCAACACCATCATCATCTCCAAGGTCCACCACAGCCCTTGATGCCCATGAACCAGCCACAGTTCAGGCCTCATATGCAGGCCACGCAGCAGCAGCCAAATAACAACAGGATGCAGTGTCAGCCACGACAGGGTCCAATGAAGCCAAGACATGTAAGTACCACGTACGTCAGTGTTGCCTTGCATAGTTCTGCATGGGTAAGAGGTATGTAAGCACAGGTTTCAAAACTCACCAGAGTGGTTTTTCAGTCCCATTTGTTCTGTCCTGCTCTGTCACCTTCTTTCACAATCTCTTGCTCCTTTTCTGCCTTGATAATTTTATAACCTACATCCAAAAATAGCAAGTGTATCTTTCCCTTTTTCTTTTCTCCTCCAGTCTTCACTGTTCTTCGTGATCTGGGTCCAATAAGAGATGATGCAGTTGCCCAAGAACTGGCGATAAAGAGGTGTTGGAGGATAGGTTTGCTTAGTAAGATTTTAAAACTGCTGGTAGCCTGTGATTGTGTTGGAGCCCAGTTCTCTGATGCTCTTTCAAGTTGAAGGCCTCTTTGTACCACTGCTAATAAGCTTTCTGGTTCAGATAGTGCCATTTGTGTCTTGTGAGTTTGCTCCAGTGCAGCATATTCTGTTTCTTGGGTAGCACAACAGTCTGAAGCAGTGCTCAGAACAACATGACTGTAGTTCAGAGTAACTGCTTTGATTAGGAAAATATATCATACAGTGAAGCCAATTTCTGAGAAAGATGTTAAACAAGTGAGATTCAGTTTTGCTTCTAATTAAAGACAAATACAGCCATTGTTAAATGTTCTCATTTCTATAATTTTTCTTCTCACATTGAAAATATTGTGCTCTTTGAAAGCTTTTTTTCCCCCGAAATGTAACTAAATCATGAAAATGTGAAAGAGGAAACACTTTAGTCTGGTTTGTAGTGAAGATCTGCATTTTTAAAATTTTTGTCTTTTCAGAATACACCATCACAAAATATTGTCAAGCGTCCAAATCAGCAGCTACAGTCAACTGCTCCAAGAAATAGTAACTTGCGTGAGTTGCCAATAGCGCCATCGCATGCTATGGAAATGAGCAACAACAGGCGAACCTCTACCCCCGCTGCTCAGGTCAAACCCATTACCAGCACGATGTCTGCCACCAAGCCTGTAGCTGGTGTTGGAAACTCACAGGGAAGGCCTGAGATGAAAGCTAAAGCAATCACACCAGTGGGCCAAGCAAAATCAGAAGTAAAATCTGAACCAGAGGTAAGGCTTTCTTTTTTTTTTTTTTAAACAAACAAAAATCCACAAACAAAAAACTCCCACCTTTTAAAAACTTTTCTAGTCCGATGTGAACTGTAAGCACACTTAATGTATTATTCACCCAATATTTTTGGTGCCGCTAGAGGCCTCCCTTCTGAGTTGCACTTTCCTCTTTAATGTGATAGCAAAACCAGTCTCCATTGATAAAAAAAGTAGTCTGGCAGGTTGGCAGGGCTGTGGTGAGTCTGTTTTGCAGGAGGAGGAGTCATTTCTAATGTGAAAAGACAGAGGTTATGTAAGGGTCATCAGTGATACAAGCCTCTGAAATACCCATTGTGCCCATTTTTTATCGTGCCCATTTTTGTCTTCCAGGACTACAATCAGGTTTTTTTTTTCAGGCAATCACTTACATAAGTCAGCAGACCTCTTCTCTTCCGTTTCCGATGATGCTTTATGGCTCAAAGAAACGGCTACCTGAGAGAGCTCTCTTCCTCATGCTGTTTTGCTTTAGGCTGTCCAGTCTCCTCTAGGGCCATGAGCACTCATGCAGGAGGTTGCAGCTGCTTTATCCATGGAGCTTCTTGCTCCTGAAGAAGAAAATATCTCTTTTATGGAACCTTTTGATGTAAGGGAAAATAGGAGATGCTCTCAAGTTTTTCATTCTGGAGAAGACGATGCTGTTTGTTCTGCTAGTACTCTGCACAATGAAAAAATGACATGCCAGTGTTTTGAGCTACCATGGATCGTGCAGTGTGAACAGATAACCGTTTCAGTGCCCAGATCCTCCTGGAAGCTAGGGAAGCCCCTCCATGAGCACTGTTGGTTTGAGAGAGTGGGTAGGATTGCACTGATGGTGCTGTTAATCCTGAACATCAGGAGGTACCTGAGGAACATGATGGCTAAGTGCACCCTGTATAATTTCTGAGTGTCAGGTTATTCTGAGCTGTAAATCTTCATAGTTTAGCTGACCATGAATCTTGTCTCAAGGACCAGGTTTTCTTCAACAACGGTTGAAAGCTTGAATTGTGATAATACTGTCTTCCCTTTAAGCTGCTCATGATTAGCTTTTCATCTTGTTCTTGAATTAGGGATGGTCATAACTAATTTTCACAAATGAGGCACAAAGGAAACCCATAGCTAGCAGTGTTTGACCTCCTGTGCACTTGCTTTTCAATGGTAATGTAAAAAAAAAAAAAATCCTTATTTCAGCTTTTAATTTTCATCTTTTTTGAAAAAATGACTTAAGTAATCCTCTTCCCCTCAATTCAGTCTCTTGGAATAATCTAAGTCACAGAAAATGCAGGCCCTCTCAGAGAAGCTTCTGTCTTTCAGGACATTAGTAATGTAAGTTTTGAAGCAAATCAGCTACAGGCCTCCCCATCTAAAGCATCTTAGTTTTTTCATAATTTAGTCACATGAACATTAAGGCATTAGTTCCAAAATATCTCTAACTGTTTAGAAAAAGGAATGAATATTTTTCACTCCTCCTGATCTCTTAATCAAATGAATTAAAAACAAACAAACAAACCCCAACCCAAACAAGCAGTCATCTTGTTCTCTCCATTTTAAGTTTTAAACATATCCTAACAAATCTGTAGTTATAAGACTACCTAATCTTACTCATGTGAATTCTTGGTTTTACAAATAAAGCTTTCTTTTTATTTCTGTGTCAAAGCTGTCTTTGAAAACAGTTTGATACCTGTTTCATGTAAGCTTTTACAAAACAGGATAAAAAAAAAAAGTTGCCTTGGAAAAAATGTCTCCTAGTGTTTCCTGTTATAAACCTTAAAAGTAAAGCCTTTGTAGGTACATGTAGCAAATAGTAGAAGAGTGTGTGAACGTGTGCACGGCACAGAACGCTTCTCCTTTCAAAGCAGACTCGAAATAGAGCCTTGTGCTGCAAACAGTGGTATGGTAGCAGTTGTCCCTTCTCAGCAGCACTGCTGTGGTAGTCTTGTTCACTGATGCTGCTGATTGTCACTTTTGCAGACAGCCTTGCTGCACTAGCAATATTCATTTTCCAAACACTTAATCATATTCTTCACTATTTTTCTCCTTAGGCAAATTATAATGTTTTCCAGTCTTTTTTTCTGTGTTTTTCTTGTAATTAGCTAACTTCATCCTGTTCTTTCGCTTTCTATGAACATGAGAAAGAGTTAAGTTCTGTCATCTCTTCTAGCTGTATTGCTCATAACTGAATTGGGCAGGTTATTTTGCAAGTGTCTTCAACTGGAAAATTATTAAGACTTTTCTTTGCATCCTTCTTCCTGAAGAGTCAGTGGCCATCTTTATGAATGCCCTATTGTTCAGGAAGCACAAAAAAAAAAGCAATATTGGCTATTAAAGGTTTTGCCCACCTTCAGAATACGTATTTGAAAGGTTTGCAGCCTGACTGACTACAAGATTAAAAACTGTATTTCTACTTTACTAATGGTATGCTTGTGTTTCTCTTCCTGTGGGGCTGCAAAATACTAACTTTAAATGCCTTTGTCTGTTTAGAATAGCTGTACTCTCCAAGTCTGAAACTTGTATATCCTCAATCTGCAAAATCATTTTGTCAATGAAATTAGAAAGCATGGGTGATGACTGTAGGCCTAATTCTGCTCATGTTGAGGTCAGTTTAGGATAAGAGGAATTAAGGCAATGTTAAGCATTTTTGAGTTTAAAGAAGGGGGGAATGTAGAAAGGTGATGTGAATCTCTTCAGAAGAAATGGATATTGGAGCGCAGAACAGGAGAGAAATTAAGAGTGCTGCATAATCATAGGCATACTGATACTACTACTTATCTTGCAGGTAATGTCTCTGATGCACTGAAAGAAAACCTTCACATTCCATTCTCCCAAATCCAGTACATTTTTAAGTTAGGTTGTTGGGTTTTATGTTGCTGTCTTTTTTTAAAAAAAGACTTGCAATATGAAAAATAGTTGCTATTGGAGCAAATGTATCTAAATCCTTTTCATATTTTGGGAAATGAACTACCTGAAAAATTGTACATGTCTAAATTTGAGTTTTCTCCAGTATAAATAGGTTTGATTTCCAAATTTGGTAATGGTGCCTCCTGTCTTGTGCTTAGAAGATTCTTCTTACCACAGTCTTTTTCCAGTTGGAAGATCGCAAGAGGGCAGTGTGCTTCTCAAAGTAACTTGTAACCTTGTTCTTAATTCTTTTCCTGTTTGTCCAAGATGCACAGCACCTGTGTTTTGTAGGGTGACTCATACCTTCCTAGGGTTCAGGAGCTGATGTCATGAGTAATGTGAAATGTGTGATGTGTATGCAGGTGCCTTTATTTAAGATACTTTGTGGTTTTGAACACAAGCAGCCAAATGTAATTTGGATCTAGCCTTACCTTTTATGAAGACTTGTCATGAATTTTTGGGCAAATGATTCTCGCCTCTTTTGTTTCTAATGTTACACTGAAAAAATAAAGATACACCTGCTGTAGATTTGTGCATATGCCACAGATCAAACCATTTTGATTGCTCTGTCCTTGTACCCATTCTACTGAGGAACACAAGTGAGCCTGGTTGCATGAATCCTTTTTTGTTCCTTGATAGTAAACCAGAACACTTACAGCATCTGGTTCTTACAGCTCTGCATTTAATTCTATTAACTAGTAATAAAGCCTGCAGACCTCTAAAAAGGTGTGGGTTTGGTTTTTAAATTCACTATATAAGAAGCAAACTTCTGATAGTAGGACTTAAATTACAGTAGAAAACTTAAGCCTGTGTTTTAGAGCGTGACTTTGCTGTCTTTTCCTCAATCAACAGTGCCATTCTAAGTTCTTCTGCAGAATGATGTAGGACTGCTGCTTTACTTACTGCTGCTCTTCAGTTAGACTCAGAAAAGCAGCCTGTAACATTTTCTTATGGCACTTTGTATCAAAGCCTCTTTGGACCTTAATGCAGAAGAAAACGTGTAGCTAAGGCTTGGTCTTCCCTTCAAACTATAATGAAATATGTTGTGTTGAAGGACTGCTCAAAGGCAGATGAGAATCTCCACTTTAAAAAACAAACAAACAAAAAACCCCACAACACAAAACCCACCAACAAACCTAAACAACAACCACCAAACAGAAACACACACACACAACCTAGAAAAAAAACCCCTTCACAAAACCAAGGGAGCTGTTTGCATCTCTGGCCTTGTACTCCGTAGCCTCCTGTAAAAGGAGGGGCTGTACACAATATGCTGTTTCTTCATGTTATGTAGTTTTCTACAGAGAAAGGTGAAGTGTCAAGAGTTTATCTTGGAGAAAGGCTGCTTCAAGTTCTTATGCTTCTTCACCTACAGATAACCTTGCTTTTCGCAGGAAACTTCCAAACACGAGCTGTGAACTTTAGGACATCTTTGAAGGATGTCTGCTGTCTCCCAGTTGCTTTTGTTTGTTTTTGGCAGTGCTACTGCTTTTTGGAGAAAATTGTACTGGGCTTGTTAAACTAATGGGATGAAAATCATTAGCAATAGGCATTGCGTACTGTTTCAATCTTGACTCGATGTACTGTCTTGCCTGTTCTGAATTATGAAGCTCCTTATTACAAAAACCCTCAACTGAACAGAAAGGAAAAAAAATACAGCGCTACCTCCAATGGTAAATTTGGTACTGGCTCACTGGCATCCATCGAACCCATTTAGATGAAATGTAGAATATTCTGCTCTAAAGCAAGTGAATAAACTAATTCATTAAGTTGAGTGGAAGAGGTTTCGTGTTTGGACAATTTCAGTAATTAAGATATTTACCGTCTCTGAAAGTGACTGAAAATTTTGTTCTTTGCATTAGGATCTGCATAACAGCACATCCTTCTCCTTTCTGGAGCTTCTCTGTATTTTGTCATCCTATGCAAACTATATTTAAGGGTCTTACCCTTTTACTGTATTTTGTAAGGGCCTTATTCTTTTTTTCACTACAATCCAGCATCTCCAGTTTTCAATTTAGGATGAAGTATTTGAGTTTCCTACTACTGCCCATTTTACTTTGTAGAAGTATGTTCATGTTACCATCTATCAATGAAGACCTGTAATCTGGTTGTTAGTGATTAGCCATTAATCACCACCATCACAGTCTGAAAAGCATAGAGAAAGATCAGAACCCTTCGGTGTATGAAGCATTCTCCTAAAAAAAAAGTGTTAGATCTCATCCCAGAAATATAGCCCATATTAAAAAAAAATAAAAAATAATCCAGTTTTGTTGAAGTCTTATTTTAGCCATTGGTTAGGCTGGAATTCTAGTGTGAAACATGCAGCTATTTCTTAGTCACTATGGGAATAATCCCTATCAGTAGGTGCTCAGGGAAGAAGCACTTATATCTGAAGGAAGTAAGCATTCAGGATTTGTGCATCTGGATTCTCTGATTACAAATCCTACTCTATTGGGCTTTTCTATCTGTGACCCAACTGCATGGTTGGATCTGTTCTGCTTTTTTTTTTTTTGCTTGGGTTGGGGAGGATTCTGAGATGTACCAGGGATAAAAGCACTTGAATTGGAAAGGAAAAAAAAAAAAAAAAAAAAAAGTTACACCCTTAGGTCCTATACATGCAAAAAAATGGCATTTGTGTTGACAAGATCTTGCACCCAGTTACTGCAAGGTAAATAACTTCATCACTTATTCCCAGTATTTGAGAAATGTTTTAGCATTCTATATGCTGTAATTTACCAGAATGCAAAGTATTGTTAATTTGAGAGCCTGTTTTTCTTAGAGGTGATTAATATATCTCGAGTAGACTGTTATGCTCATTACCATCTGTAAGCAGTCTCTACAAGTCTCTAACTTAATATTTCAAACAGTTGAAAATAAAAAATAATATAATGAAAAAGTGTGCTTTGTAATTTTGAAAAATGTGTGTGATTATATCACAAGAGAAATTTGATTTCTTTTCTAGGATGATGAGAATCTGCATTTCCTTGACTTTTGCCTATTTCATACAGCTTTTCATAAGAACCTGTTGTGCCAAAGTTGAAGAATCTTTAGAAAGGTTATTTGATGGTGTGTAATACTTTCAGAAGGGCCCAGGGCTGGAATATTAAAGGCATTCTCTATATACCATTAATATTCCAGCACTGCATTTGGCAACATTTTGATTCTGAAGAGAGTGCACGAGTTCAAGGTCAGAGAGATTGACTTGCGCTGTTCATTATAACCAATTATTGTGTGACAAATGAGTTTGAGATCAGGCTGAAAATTCTGTGAGAAAAATCAATAGTTCTAATCAGGGCCTTTCAGGTCATTTACCACCCTACCTTTTGTTACTTTGTCAGAAAAGAGCAAGATAAAACCTGTGTGACAGTGGGTTGCCTCCGTATTGTTACTTTCCATTTGAAACATATTTTGATATCTTGGATTATATTAATAGTTTAATTGGTTTTAGAAACTTCTAAATGAGTTCCAATTTGTAAAACTTCATAATTTTTTTTTTTTTAGTCTTCTGATAAGATTTCTCAACTGGTATTAAAGCTTCTTTTTTTTTTTTTTCTGTCTAGGAAGTAGTATATCTAAGTCCTAAACCAGATTTGAGCTATTTATCTGTAATGAATAGCGAATAAACCTTACCAGCAGATATACTCCACTAATAGCTTTAGTTGGTATCAGGGATAATTTAAAAAGCTCTTCAGAGAGTTACAGCTTTACGACATCTGAAACAACAATTTCATGTTGTTTTGACCAAGCTGGGCGTTTGAGAATTTTATAAATTCATTTGTATTTTCCCTTGTAGTATCCAGATGAAGATGAAGAAACTAGATTGTATCGTTTGAAAATAGAAGAGCAGAAGCGTCTAAGAGAAGAAATTCTGAAGCAAAAGGAGCTGCGACGGCAGCAGCAGGCTGGTGCTAGAAAGAGGGAATTGCTTGAAAGACTTGCGCAGCAGCAGCAGCAGCAACCTTCTACACAACAGTCCTACATGCAGCAGGAGGACGACTCCTCCGAGTTCCCCACGAACGGCAGCCCTTACATACCCCACTCTGGCTTACAGACCAGGCAAAATGTGAAAAACAGACTCCTTGTTAAAAAGCAAGATATGGTAGTTCCAAATATCCAACCCAAACCCACAGATTTCCCACAGGTCGGGGCGAATATGCAGTATCAAGGACAGCAGATGAAGCCAGTGAAGCAGCTGAGGCAGACTAGGACAGTACCTCCGAGTCAGCCTCAGGCGCCGCAGAAAGTATTACAGACAAAACCTGTCGCAGCATCGCCGCCCGCGACACAGGCTGCTCGAGTGGCTTCGGCACAAGCAAGGCCCCAGGAACTGAAACCTGGCGTGAAAAGGACTGTCATGCAGCGGACAAACAGTGGTAGTGGAGATGGGCCCCATGTCGGCAGCAAAGTCAGGGTGATTAAGTTGTCAGGAGGGGTAAGTTTCCAAGGCTCATCTTGTGTGTGTGTGTCCTCGTCGTTTGGTTCTGTGTGTTTCATTCCATGTAATCCCAAAACAAAAAATGGGCCTAAGCTGATGAGGGAAGTAGTAGCAGGTTTAGCAGACCTAATAATCCATATTTTATATTTTCAGAATTGTAAGTTATTGGCAGTTATTCAGAAATTGATGATTGCTGTAATGCTTTACCGCCAGGCAGTTATCACTGAAATCACATTGAAACAATACTCCTTTCTTAAGTTCATTACAACTTGAGTCTGAAAGACTCCTCAACTGATCTCCTTTTGCTTACAGTTGGTAGTTCTGATAATTGGTCAGAGAAAAAGATTTGGGTGGCTGTTTGAAGGTTCGGTTAAAAAGCTAGGCTCTACTTATGCAGTAGCTGAAGCCACCTAATCTAGTTGGGTGTGGGTGCTGGCATTAGTGTGGTTTCTGTACTCAAGGGAAGACTGTTTTTATTTTCTTGGGACATGTGTTGTGAAACTAATTTAAGCAGTATATTGGAGGGGGCTGTTTTCTGTTAGGCTGGGTTTAAAATGTTACCATTTCACTTCTGCATCTAAATGAGATTTCCTTATCTTTTGATGAGGGGGTCTATTATCTGCAGAGTGTCCCTTGAGCATTGGTGTTATGGAGGACTCACAATGCTGGTCTTGATGGCAGTGTACATATTTAAGATCTGGGGCTTTTGTTAGAAAGTATCTCAACCAAATTTCTTCTGTCTTAATGAAAAGACAAGTTAATTTGTTAGGGCTCTGAAGAAACTGAGATGAGGGGACACAACAAGATGGCATTGCCAGTGTGAAATCTGTCCTCGGGTTTATGCTGAGGAGGAAAGAACGATGTGATGTGGTTTAATGCTGTGGTACATTGGAGGTGGTTTTTTGGTAGAATGCCTCTTAAATTATTCAGAGCCTTTATTAGGGAAACGTGCAGAACTGCTGTAATGAAGTGAATGAGCAGTGTGTTAACAGAGACTAAGCAAGGCCTTAGAGGCTAGGCTTTACTCTGTAGAAATGGAGAGGAAGGTGAAATGCCAGCGTCTTAACTACTTTTTTATAAATGTTTTTCTACAGCTCATAGAACTTAAATACACTTAAAATTGTGAATTGCATAATGATCACGTGGTCTTTCACGATATTAACATTAAGAATGTTATTGACTAAATAGAGCTGACAACTGGAGGATGTCTAATTCCTCAGACATGGTAACTTAAGTACAGAAGAATAAAGTACAGGAAGTTGAAAGACATTTCTTCTGTGGGGCTAAAAATATTTATTTATAAATATGTCTGCAGGAATCCCAGTGGCCTGCAAGAGGTATGACAGGTTTGTTATTCATGAATAATTGAATAAAGCAATCATGCACAACTTTTTATTATGTGGTGAAACAAAACAATGCCAGTCACCACTGTATACTGCTCTTCATAACAAATGGTATCAGTGCCCAAACCAGCACTTGCAATGAAATAGTTTTTATCATAATGCTCTATTTCAGAAAACCATAAATGAATTGTTTCAGATAAGTCTAATGGTAAGCAAGAGCAATTAGCTTCATTAAATGCATGTGCAACCCCCTCTTTTGTTGTATACAGAAGCAGATTTGTTCTGTCCTTCTTAACTTTCAGGTACCAAGGTTCTCGCAAGGTAAAGCAAGTTCTTTATGTGAAGCCTTTGTTACTTTTTTTATATTGCCAGGGACATTTTAAGTTTTCGTTCCAACTGTGGAAGAATAAAAGCGAGCGTTGCAATTAGCTGTTTAACACTGATCAAGATAGTTGATTAATTTTTAATCAGTTAGTGACAAACTGAATCTATGACTTTGTTTCTTTGACCACACAAGGAAAATGAAAAAATTGAGCAGCAGTGGGGCCAATCTTGTCTATTTTGACAGGATTTTAAAGAATAATTAAAAGCTGCTTGGACTCCGACTACTATAAAGATCATAAATGACATTTAGTTTCCATTTCTAGTATTTAGTCCTGCCACATGCTTTATTTATTTTCACAACTTTTGCCTCAACCTTAAATCTAAAGCAAAAGCCAAATCTCATTTTTTCCTTGCCATTCTCCTTAGCATGTAACAGTGCTTCCTCTAATTCCCTGCCTTTGGCCAAAGGGATGGCTGGTATATCTTACCTGCATGCTCTGACTTGATCCTGCAGTTAAGCAGCCCTGCTGTTGCTCTCAGTCTAATCCCTTATACCTTTTCCTTTCTAGAGCTCTTACGTGCAGAGGTGTTTTGAATGCCCATGTATGTGTGAGATGGCTTGCGATTAGACACAATGCACGTTCCTTTTCAAAGCTCTCTTGATGCATGTTGGTAAAGACTTCGAAAGTCCCTTTTCTTTTCAGCCTGCCAGCTGAGGGACAGCACCATAGCAGAGCTGTCAGTTGAAGAAGGTGACTGAGGCCAGACCTGTACTAACTCTTACCTAGAGCAAATTGACCTAAACCAGGAGCCAGTAGCAAGGACTGTCTAGGTTTAGTAGGACCACCTGTAGAACAGCATTAAATGGCCTTGTGTTGCTGGTGATGTTTTTTTGTTTAACAGTTAAGGAGATGTACTTTGTGTATTGGTGAGATTTATGGTGTATAAATACTAACAGCAGAGAATGGTTTCTTCTCTTGAGGGCAGTATCTTTCCCATTCTAAGTTGCTAACTATGTTTATTTGTTTTGCTGGGCACTGCAGTACTACTGAGGATCTCTGACCTCCAGGTAGAAGTATCCCTTGTTGCTTAAGAAGGCAAAATGGCCTTTCATCTGTTTCCACAATATTCTCTCTTGAGAGGATTTTGCTTTTAAGTATTTTTATAGAATTGTAAGAATTATTAATTAAATTCCAATAAATATTTTATTTTGTCCACTTTATCTGATGCATAAGATGCCTTAATTTATGGCCTCTTATGCGTAAAGAAAAGTGAAGTAGAAAATGATTCAGCATTTCCTGTATGTCAGACTAAGTCTGCGTATCAAGGCAACAAATGTTAGGTACCATCATGAGATTCTGTCTGATGTTTTTTTAAAATAAATTCCCTTTCACCCCGTAATGATTTGCCCATCCCTTTCTAATAGACCTGTAATTCATGCAGGAATGGCAGTACAGTGAATAGTTTTCATTCTTAATTACTCCTTTAAATGTTATATTCCTGGAAAATGAGGCAGTGCTTATTGTTTAGCAGATGCATTTTGAGGTTTGGAGGGGTTTTTTCATGGAGGCACAGAGGTCTTTTGATGGATCAGCTTTATGGTTCATGCGGCATGTCTTCAGAGCCATCCTTTCCAGGTATAGGAGTTCAGCATATTTGCTGAGTATTTGTACTAATATATTTTACTAAGAAAATCTGAGATTTGCCTGGCTTGGCGAGGAGCCAGAAGTCAATCCTAAAGATACGTATAAGAATAAACTCACTGAGGTTGTAGAGTGGTGTTTGTTGGCCCTAATAAATCACTTAAGAATGTGATCATAAAATTATAGAAAATATGGGTGAAAGGACCATAGAAATAATTTATCCTGTCTTGAAGGGGGAATAAATTCTATAGTATTCCTGGCAGATTTGACCAACCTTTTTCTGAGATCTCATTAGTGGAGATTTCTTTGGCCATCTGTTCCAGTGTCTAACCTGTACATTTAGAATTTTTTCAGTGACCAAACCACATTTTCTTGCTGCAATTCTGAATCTATGACTTATACTTCAAGAGACATAGGAAAGGATTTGTATCCCTCTTTGTGGCTGTCCCTCTCTTTAAAAATCTCCTAGCTGTTTCTGAGCACTCATGTCCCTCACTACTTCTTGATGGGGCACATTTACTAACACCTTGGCTGTTTGTGGTGGTCTCATTTGAGTTCTCTGTGATCAGTCTGTCGGTAAATAGTTCCGGTACCAAGTGCAATTGAATTCCTTAATATTAGAAGTGTCTTTACTCCTGGAAGAACAGGTTTGTGCCAGCTACAACCTTAAATATCTTAAGATCATATGAAATATGCTGAACATGTTTTTTTCATTTAGTTGGAGGTTCTGTGGGAAATGGTAATATCTTAAAATCTCTGTATCATTCAGCCATCTTATGTTGTTGTTGGGTGATTTCTCTCTAGCCAGAAAATGGCCTGCCATGCTCAGAAAGATGTGTGTCTGTCCCAAAGGCCTGAAAATGCTGGTTCTTATGCTGCACCAAGAACACACCAATCTTTGTCTCTGTGGGAAGCTGCACAATGAGCTTTTTTTCAAAAATACATATATATGTATAAAAATACATAAAAATCTCAGTGTTCCCTGATGGATTAGAAGCAGTACCTTATTAGTGATCATAATTCCTGAAAACCTGGGATGATGCTTCATCTGAAAAGCTTGAAGAAAGATTTGGCAAGTTCTTCTTGTTTGAAAAGCCTGTCACAAAAAATGTCCTCGGATTATAAAAAGAAAAAAGAGAATTGGAATGGAAGATAGACAACTTCATTCATATTTAGAGTAACTGAGAAGTGCAAGAGATTAATATGGAGTTCTAAATATGGAAAAAGATACTGATTGAGATGATGCTTGTTTGATAATGTAACCTTATCAACCAACTTTGCTTAATGTTTGTACTTATTTCTGCTTGCATGTGTATGTTCAAGTTTAATTAAAATATTTGACTTGAAAGCTCTATAGCGCCTTTCATCTAAATATATCAGGAATTACAAACACTAAAATTTTTGCCGTTTGCATGACCAAGTTCCTGAGGGAGCCCTTCACCCAGCTCTGCAGCGCTACCAGCTGCGAGAAACAACGCGGGAACTCTCGCACCATGCCATACTATTACTGCTTAAGAGGCAGAGTGGCATCACAGTTTATTCGTATCCCAGTATTTGAAGGAGTTACCGATCATGCCCGTATTCTATCAGGAGTGAACTTGAAGGAGCCGCAGAAACCATCGTATCTGCATGCCCAGATACTCTCTAAATGACAAACATGGTATCAAAATGGGCAAGACCTGCCCAT